TCATCTTTGGGCAATCCTCCAGGAGGCTTGGAGTAATATATCAAGTCAATGTTTGAATAAACTGACTGCTCGGATGCCTAGTGTTGTCCCTTATTATCAATGCAAAATGGTCACTAACTAAAGAGGATTTATGCTGATATTGCCCAAAAACCCTATTTTGTTCAGGCGTTTCCAAACTTTTGGAGGGCAGTGTATAAGTGCAGTGTAGGAAGTAATAGTAATTAGTTAACTCTAGCTAGTTAGTTAAGCAAAAAATAAATTCTAATAATTTTTTTTAACAACCAATAACAATAATAGGTGAATCGAATCTGTTCTATAAAAGAGTTCCGTGGCCTTTTTATTGTTTCCGATTCATAAATGAAGTTATAGTAAAAATCTGATAGATAAGAATTAGATAGTAGTGTGGTTATATTTTGACCACTACTTAAGAGCCATGTACTGTACCAAGCTCACATGGCATGTCCTACATGTCTTCTGATCAAGCATTATGGGGATGAATTTAAGAATGACTGCAAAACAATAATCCAAACTACGCTCTTATGCTTGATCAGGTAGTAGAATCAGCAGAGGAACCAAACACACAGTATCTTCAAATTGCAGAGACAGAGGACGTGCAGGGAACAGAGGCTGCTGTTTCAGTGCTGCAGAACCTTCGCTTTAACACACAGAATGGTCTGTATCAGGACTTTGAAATGTGGCTGCAAAATATTCAGTGAAATGTGCAACTATCTTCATTCTGTTTTGTAGGCGTTGTCTCAGCTACAGCAGCAGACAGACTGGATCCAGCGTCAGTTAATATTCTTCAGCAGATAATCGAGCTTGGCACAGAGAACCCCGACACTGTGGCCTCCGTGGTTGCCATGGCACCTGGCACAGTCACCGTGGTGGAGCAGGCAAGTCTACTTGCTTAAGCACAAGGGAGTGGCTGCAGAGTTTTTCAGTAATGAATGAAGAGGCTGGAAAAATCTAGCCAAGGTTTAGTGTGTTTGGAACAGAAGTAAAGTGCTGTTAAAGCTGTGGAGTAATAATGAACTCATCGAGAATATCAGCAGTTTCACCTCATGTAGCTTCACAAACAATTTGCTTACATGACATCTTAAAGCAGAGCATCACTGATATTTTACAGCTTTGTATTTCAGGTTTTTAGGATTTTTTGCCCTTTAAATTGAACCTACAGCATCAAGTAGATCTGATGAATGAACACTTTATAATTGGAAAAGCCAGTATGAAGTCAATGATGTAGTGTGTGGTGTAGGAGTATAACAGTATACTTGTGTAATGTTATGCTATGCTAGTATAAATAATGACGTTGCTTTGGAGGCAGAAAATCAAGAGAAGAGGAGCTGCTTGTGTGACTTGATAGTATGCAGCTACAGTTAAAGTGGGACATTACATCACAAATCGGTGAATGTCCCAAAAATAACCAAGTTATATTGCAGCATTGTTACAATGTTGTAAATCTCATTATATTCTTGCTCTTCCAAGACTTTGTCCTCTATGTTTGTTTATCTTGCTTGCCCGGGACTTGGTCGGGACGTAAAAAAGCACTTGATGAAAAAAGTTAAACTTTTCAACTTTGTAAACTCTGCTGTGACCTAAAAACACAGGCAGCTTTTTAAAAGTGGCTACATCCTTGGTGATCTAGTGGTTAGGATTCGGCGCTCTCACCACTGCATCCCAGGTTCAATTCCCAGTCAGAGAACAGGGTCTCTTGCTCCTAAATCCCAGCAATGCCACAGCCATCCATTGCTAGGAGCTAGGGAAGGAAAATTGGCCAATGCCTGGATGGGAGGGGTGGCATACTACTCTATGACACTAGCCATTCGCAGGCATTTGTGAGCTCATGTATGCAGAAGAAGGCAGCTAGCGCTTTCCTCGGGGAGTGTTCTGCTCCTGAATTTCCTGTTTACACAGTTACACTTGTTGACCATGTAGTACACAGTTTCAGAAGGGAATTATTTATAATCGCACTATCCGTTGTCACCCAGATGAGGATGGGTTCCCTTTTGAGTCTGGTTCCTCTCAAGGTTTCGTCCACATATTGTCTCAGGGTGTTTTTCCTTGCTATCGTCACCTCTAGCTTGCTCATTAGGGATAATTTTATAAATTTGTAAGTTTAAAATTTATATCCTGAATTTATATATTTCTGTAAAGCTGCTGTGTGACAATGGCCATTTTTAAAAGTGCTAAACAAATAAAATTGAATTGAATTGAATAGAGGAAGTGCGTGTCACTCTCCCTCTTTGGTAGCTGTCTTACGACATGGGAGAGCTGACTGGTGGGTGGGAGTTAGTAGATGGCCATATTGGGTAGAAAATGGGGGCAGTGGCTGCATTCTGTTCTTCTTGTGACCGCTTCCCATTGCATTACATTGCATTAGGAAAGCAGACTAAATTATAAAAACAGTCTAGCAAATTTCTTGGGGGACTGTGGCACCTTTTAGCACATTTATCAGCTCAATCTCTTTATTATACTAGGTGACGGAGGAGGAACAGCAGACAGACCATGCCATGATGATCCATGATGCACTGCAGCAGGCCACTGTGGGTCTCGGAGAAGAGCATCATTTGGTGGTGTCTTCAGATGACGTGGAAGGCATCAAGACAGTCACGGTGTACACCCAGGGTGAGGACGCTTCGCAGTTCATTGTCTATGTTCAGGAGGCTGTCCAAACTGAGGAGAGCACTACAGATGTGACCTAAAAGACTTTTGAACATTCAGAAGGATGTACAAATGGAAAGGTTTTCAAAAGCTTGGAAGGAAAAATGAAATGAAATGTGTTGAATGCAAGCTGTTGAGCTAATGCATAAAAACTAGAGGCAGTAGTTGCACGCAGTATACAAAAGCAGCATATGATTTCTTCTTATTTTTTCAGAGACATGCAGAACAAGTCTACTGAAAATCTCCTTCCCATTCATTCTTTTGTAGCTTTTTATAAGACAGTGATTTTGCTGGGTTTCAACATTTATTGAATGGATTTGTTTGCTACATCATCTGTATCTGAGGTAATATGGACTTTAATCAGATTCACCAGAATCTGAGCTTGAATTTATGATGAGTCACAGAAAGAATGGGTGTGATTTGATGTTAAACCACAGCGCTGTTGAATTCACGATTCTGATTAGTCAGAAGTATAGCTGCAGTCCACATAAAGGGAATTTAAAAACATGTGTAATTGTTGATATGAAGTTTTCTGTGAGGAGATGCATTGTTGGAAGGAGTCTCAGTAAGTTTTACAACGCGCTTTTCTGCGATTTCCTGTTTCTTGGTAACATGACAAGCTGCATTTTTTGTCTTACTAAGTCTGAGAGAGAGAGAAAAAAAGAGAGGCTAGTGAGGGAAAGAATGCAGGATTTGACAATTATAGAAGTTTATAGCTGCTATAATGTACGTGAGAAGAGGAACTAACTTGTTTTTTGGGACATTCCATAACATTAAATCTAACTGTAAATAGATAAAAAGTATGATGCATCATTCTTCATAAATCATGGGCAAATAGCTGTGGTGTAAGAGCAATAAAACAACACCATGTTGTTTATTACTGTCTTATAAAAGCTCATCTCTAAGTGCTTTATTTCTTAATTATTTAACATTTTTGCTCTGACTCTTATGCAAGTATGCTGTGTCTGAGTTCACCTTTTGATATTTGGGACTTGAATATTCAGGTTTAAAACATTCAAGCCGTAGAAACTTCTGCACCTTAAATGCATGTGATTGAAAATTTACAATAATCATCCAGGAAAGAGCAAACAGGCCAGGATCTGAACAAACTCATCAATTTACAATTAACAGTTGTGAAGTAGGGAAGGTCATTAGTCAAACTGTAATTTTTGCATGTAACTATGTAAATATAATGAAATTTTAACAAGTAAATACTTATGTCAAATGCATTTCTTGCATGTTAACCCGTATATTTTTGTCCCATTAACATGTTACACTGGTCTTGCACTTAATGGCTGATTCCATTTTTGCTTTTGGAGAGATACCTGGGCATCTTACTGCCACCTACTTGCAATAAGTGGTGAAGCTTTATTGCTCACAAAAGACACAGAGACTGATGAAATGGAAAATTAATATCGAAATGAATGTAAATTCATATCAAATGAATGTAATGTAAATTTTCCTATCTAATCATTTCTGAAATATCTGCCTGCTTCTGGAGCTGTAAATGAAGTAACATGTGAGTAATATATTACCTTGGCTATTATAGAGTATTCTGATTACAAACAGGTCAAGTGACCTAGTAACAGTTTACGTAGCTTGCGTGCTTTTAACAGACAGTAACTGATGGGAAGAACAAAAATCTAAGATTACACATGCTCAGCAAAACTGGACTGATGATTGGACAAAAAAAAAAAAAAACGGGTCCCATTTATCTATATGCATAGTTTTTTTTGTACATGATTCTATGCATTCAATGTGATTTATGATGTTTTACTTATGCGTAAGGATCTTTTGTATATTTCTACGCACTCCTGACCATGCGTATGCAGAAACTCCTAGTGGTAGAAAAGTGTAATAGCAGGTAAAATGATTATGAGGAGCATAATTACTGATTGCAGTGCTCCCAAGATGCAGACAAATGACACAGATGGAATGTAAAGTAAAATCCTATAAAAGGCACATTTAAAGAGAAATTGGGATTATGCCTTTTTTGAAGATCTGGCTCATGCAGCTTTGTGGATGGAGTAACATGGTTTTAGTGACCACTGGAGACTCTGTGATGAGAGTACAGTGTGGCTCATCAGTCGATTTCATTTACCCAGTGCAATTTTAGTTGATCTTAGTTGATTTTTAGTTTTTAATTGATTTTAGTTAATTCTAGGGCTTTTAGCTATTGGCACATTTCAAACATATATTGACATTTCCCAACCAGCTATGAGTTGAATAATGACATGTCTTTATTCATGTTGTTCACACCGCATTACATTTCCAAAACCGGCAGCGTTTTGACAGCAAAAATGACAAATTATTGTTCCTTCGAGTTTCAAAACGTAATTGGGGAAATAGAATGACCACACATACTCATAAAATCTTTACTAGTAAAAGTGCCAAATAAAACCATTTTTGTTTTGCTCCACTTCCTGCAGCAGTATCTTTACTTTATTGCTGGTGAAGTTCATCTTGGCATGCACCATATTGTCTGTAACAAGTAGCACCTCGAGTCAGCTACTGTGCTTTTTAAAGGGAACTCGATTACCATATATGGTGATTTGAGGGCATTTTTTTTAATGCAATTTAGTGTGGCCATGCACAAGCACATGTGTGAATTTAGAATGTGTGGGATATATCAGTAGCTATTACCTACAGCTGTGTGTACCCACATGTGATAAACACCAATTTTCACGTGTGTACAGTCAGTCCTTGGGCACAAATTTAGAACTTGTTCTAGGCACGCTTTGATAAATGAGATCCATGGTTATTCCAGTCTTCAGCTGTTCACTTATGGTGAGCCTGTGCCTGCTGTAGCCTCAGATTCCTGTTCTTAATTGATTGGCTTGGAACTTGATGTGGTCTTCTGCTGTTGTAGCCCATCCTCCACAAGGTATGAAATGTGTGTTTTGAGATGCTTTTCTATTCACCACAGTTATAAAGAGAGGTTATTTGAGTTACCTTAGCCTTACGTTCTAGCTCAAACCAGAGTAGTCATTCTCCTCTTCAACAAGGTAATTCTGTCAGCAGAACTATCACTCACTGGATGTTTCCTGTGTTCTGCACCATTCTGTGTAAACTCTAGAGACTCTATGGTTGTGTGTGACAATCCCTGGAGATCAGCAGTTTCTGAAATACCATAACCTTCTCATCTGATATCAGCAACATTGCTATCTTAATTTGAGCTGAGATTTTAAGCATTACACTGCTGCCACATGACTGGCTGACTGCATGAATGTTCAGGTGTACAGGTGTTTCTAATAAAGTGGTCAGATCTGATGGTTCAGATTTTATTTATTTAAAAAAATATGTAAAGACACTTTTTTTTTATGATTTCATAATTCTGTTCATAATCAGTTCATAATTCAGTTCACAATTCCACACATTTCATATTACCATACATTTCTTGTGTTAAGTCAGTTAGGGTGTCTGCCTGATTTCCACAAGAGGTCATTTGAAAATATTAGATAAGAGCCAGATTTATTATATCGGCTTTTCAGTGGATCAAAAGTTTACATACACTTTGTTTTTTATCACATCTTTGGATGCAGGCTTAGGATTATTGTCCCGATGGACCAAGTCGTGCCCAAGTTTTAACTTTCTGGCTGAAGTTTTGAGAGGTTGCTTCAGTATTTCTAGACAATTCTCCTTCCTCATGATGCCATCTATTTTCTGAAGTGCACCAGTTCAGCAAAACACCCCCACAACATGACACTGCCACCCCTATGCTTTACAATTGGGCTGGTGTTCTTTGGATTAATGCCTGATGCCTTCGGCAGTTCCTTTGTTGTTGTCTTGGGGTTTAGTTGAACCTTTCGGACCAACATTTGTTCATTTCAGTCCCAGATTTTTATATTTTCATACAATTGTTTGTACTGATGCTCATGGTATCTTCAGTGGTTTGGAAATTGCTACTAAGTTTGAACAGGATTTTGGTGCGTTCCACTTTTTTTTCTGAGGTTTTGGCCGAGTTCTTTGGATTTTCCCGTAATATCAAGAGCAAAAAGGCACTGGCTATAAAGGTAGGCCCTTAATTACAGCCACAGGTGC